TATATATAAATATTTCAAGCTAAAACAAGCCGAACACGAGCGAACAAAGACTTGTTCGTGTTCAGCTCGTTTAAAATTCGACCTTTAAAAATTTGTTCGTGTTCGGCTCGTTTACTTAACAAACGAGCTGAACATGAGCTACTTAACGAGTCGAACACGAGTCGTTTGCGAACAGCGAGCTTTTTTTATTGTCCTGCACCTCGTGTCCACCCCAACAATTCAAAACAATTTAAAATGAATTGAATATGTTTATATTTTCAAAAGAAATGTTGTATGTAAAAAGTAATAAAACTAATAAAAAATATAAATTTTATTCATAATGAACTGAAAATAAAACATAAAACTAGCTAAATCAAAACTAATAGCTATAGCACATACTGAGAAAAGTACCTATGATAACAAATCTATAATTATTAAGTTTGCTCTGCTGGAGAAAGTCACTTCGGTGGTTGAATATAATATGTTATACAAAATATCATTGAGTGAGTTTCACAAATAAAATCAATAAATAGCAGCTACTTATTAAAGTATAAACAATAATGTGAATGAGACCCACACATACTAATTTATCGATTATAAATTATGTAAAATGAAAGCTAACTCGTGAACTATTATCATATGAGGTGTAATCTCTCATATTTTAGCATGAACATACTTCTAGGTTTGCACCAAAGTCTCGCATTCAATTGTTGTTGGTTTTTTCATAGTGACATGCACTTGTCATTTTCTTAACTTGTTATCACGGAGCTTAATATTAAGCATTTAATAAGTTATCTGTTTAACAACAAATGAGTTTGTTCGTGAATATAAATAAACAAGTTCAACCATGTTTATGTTTATTTCATTTAAGTTAAGAGCTTTTAAAATTTGTTCAAGCTTGTTTATTTACTAATTTGAATGAACATGATCGAGTCTTAATCAATCTTAGTTCGAGTTGTTCATTGGTTGCATTGGTTCATTTACAACCCTAGTTTTGTGTTATCACGTCTACAAGAGTTCTCGTGTTGAGATTTGGTGCTCCAGTAGTATCTCTGGGTTGAGCATGACCAACACAACGTCAATCAGGGGAGGGGAGACCCATAGGAATGGGCATATGATCTATAGTGGCTCTTTGGACTCCTTTTGTGTGAGCAATTGCAATACCTCTTCTTTTCGGAGCATTCTAAATAATTGAAGGCTGCGCAAAATCAAAATCAATGAAATAACTGTGTAACAAGAATAACCTATTCACTAACCAATCTTAAAAATACAATGAATATGAAATGCAAATTCAATGAGTGTTAAATACAAAACATAGGTTCTAATACCACTTCATCCCACCCCAGGTTCGGATGGTGATACACCCCAATAATGCAAGATATGACGAAATAAATTGAACTTGTTTTATAATTCTAAAAGTATTATTTTATGCAAAAAATAATAGGAATAACAATGAAATATAAATTTTATTTACAAGGAATAGCCCACCAAAACAACTGAAAAGAAAGCTGAAAACTAATTTAATCAAAAATAAAATGAAAACAAAGACGACTACCCAAACCCAAAAAGAAAAACACAATAGTTCAATAAAATATTGAGAAAAATACCAAAACCAGAAAATATAAAACTGCCAAGTCTACTCTAGTGAAGAAGATCCCACTGGTAGTTGAATATAACATATTTTGCAAAATATCAATGAGTGACTTTGACGAGTAAACTTAGTAATTAACTTATGTGTGTTAAAGCATAAACGACAAGGGGAGTGTAATATATAGTATGAACAACAAATTGAGACAACAACTATGTAAATATATAACATCTTTGGCAACAAGAGTGTTGTGAACATCAAGTTTGCTTACTTATAATATGGAAACCTGTAGTCATTTCAAATTAATTTTTTTACTACTCAAATTTGATTTATATTTATATATTCGACTTTAATAGACACCTTGAAATCGGGAGGGTCAATACCCACACAAGGAAATCCAATGATTTCTTATAGAGTCAACACTCTATAGGATGGTCAACTCAATTAACCAATATCTGAAAGGGTTTCACCGACCAATATACCAGCACATACAAGCATACTGTTGTTTTCTCGTTTTTTAGAGCACTCGGAGTCTTCCGCTTGCCTATTTATATGTCATCATATAAATAATATATTTGAATAAATCTTTTTTCCCGAATCATATCAATAATTCAAAGAGAAAAATAATGAAAAAGAATGATACACAACAACAAATAGACAAATAAATTAAAAAAAAAAATGAAAGACATATATGGGTAATCATCGTGTGATGAGTCAAGAGTATACATCCAAACAGGATTGGATTGAAGTACCTCGAAACACAACATTCACGAAGAGAATCCCTACATAAGCTACAAGTAACTATAATATAAGAAGAACATTTTTATTATTGGGTCCAGAGTCTTCCAGAGGAACGTTTCCCTCTGGTTAATTACAATCTGTAGGATACCCAAGAATATTCTCGATAAAAAGAGTTTTTATTATGTTTTCATGAACTTGAAGAATATGTCATCAAAGAATGATTATTTCATATGGAAATGTCTTGATGCTTCAAAGCTCTCACTAAGCCACAGAGTAGAGAACGAGTTTCTCATATCCCAAATGTGTATTGTCTCATCGGCATACAAAACTTATGAAATAACCAAAATCATCTCGACGGGGATATCTCAATATGTCATAGCTCACTGGGTTATTAGGGCAGCAGGTGAATTATCGTATCTAAAACGAGCGGTAGCTCATCGGTAATCGGACCGTCAAGATGATATCAACAAAGTCAAATGAACGACATGGCTTGGAGGAGCCCAGCAGAATGAAGGGTAGAGTAATCCTAAAAGGTAGAGGTAGTCAGGTCGGTATACCACAGACCCATCATCTTAAGTCACTAAGATTCTAAGTCTATCAGGTTGTGAAGGTAATTGACCCAACACATTTAGAGATCTCTGATAAGTAATCCGTGAATTGCGTCATCCACGAGGACCGCAATAGTCCTAAGGTCAAAAGTACTGAACTATATCCTATGACTACAAACGAAAGTCCAATAGGTGGGACTTGTACCTGCTAAAGTGGCGTAGATGCTGCATGACAGGAAGAGAAATTGAGGTTCAGCTACAAAGCTGTAAACACTCTGAAAAAATGACATGCACCCGTCTGGGTCGGGAGCCTTCTAACACCCTAAATACACTATACACTCACCTAAATAAAAATCTATGTTGGCTTCTTCTTCAGACATGCAAATATGATGCAATTATCTACCACAATTCTAAACGTGGACGCCCCATTAATTATGACTGGGGTGATAACCATGCATGAATGCCATGCAGGAAAATAAAAGCGTGAAGTTTAAAGTCATGAATATTTTAATTTTAAAATTTTTCATTATATTGAATATTTTATTATAATTTTATGGCAAATTTAGAATTTTAAATTCTAAAGACCGTGATACATAAAAAAACTATAGAAAGAAACAATGACATCTATTTAAAGCATGCAAACAAGCAATAGAAATTAGAAAAACAAGTTAAGTCAAAATAATAAGAAAAAACAGGTGTCGTTGGATCGATAATTTATCCCAAAAAATACAAAAGAGCGATCGGACTCCGCATATACACGCCCTCTCCTAAATCTGTACATCAAAATCAATGATGAATAAATATATGAGACATTAGCATCTGATCCTGGTCCCTCGCCACGTGTTATCATGCCAAAATACTTCAGAACCTGTGTCTGTATCTTATTTCTACTATAGGACTCTTCTAAGGACTCTAAAAAGTACATAAGAAAATTACAAAAACTATCTACATACAATTATAAATCATCACATGCTTCCTCTTTTATTGTACATGTGTGTGCAAATATATGGCATGACTCCCTGCAGTCGCAGAAGATCGACCTAATATATTACCACACATATAAAAAATTGACACATACAAGAACACCAAATGCACAAAACAAGAAAGATGTATGACTAGGGCAACTAAAATAACAAAAAAACAATAGTAAAACATAAAAAATAGTGTCTAGCAACCTAGTCTCAGCCTAGCACACCATCTAACAGAAAGTATTCAAACAAAAATCTAAGTGCACGGGTTAAAGTCTCCGGTTATCATATGATTTGATGGGTTAGCCACACCGGCCTCATCGTAACGTTCAGATGAATCTAAAGCACGCCACAAGAAATGGGTGACTCTTAAAATGGTGGCCTCACATATGATCTAACATATATTATTTAAAAATAGGTGGAGAATACTTATAATATCAAATATATCCATTTTTAATATTTTTAAAATAACAGTCCGCTAATGGCAGATCCATAGCAATCAAGTGACATGCTTTAGAGTTCTTAGAAATTTAGCACAGTCATATTATTGTTACTCATGATACAAAAACTCGTATCTCTCGCTGAGGTATTCTCGTGGACAATGCTCATTTGAGTATCACAACCAACAAATGGGTGACCCTCCTAACGAGTAGGATAAGTCTTCAAGGTGAATGGGAAAACATACAAACATGCAAAAAGCCCACACTATGATTATTTGGTCGAAGTACGAAGAAATCACAGTTGAATCCAAAAGGAGAACCACACATCATGCAACGAATGCAAGGATGCCTACATGCAATATGACACACACAAACGTGTATGCCAGTAAAACATACTAACTATGGAAAATAATTACGCCTGTCTGGGGGACTCGAGGTGCCTTGCTCCAAGCAAACACCTACTATGAATGAGTTTGCACCGAAAAAGGATATCCATGAAAATACTTTACACCTTACTGAGAGGCACTCACCGAGCACACATGCAAACATACAAGATATTCAATAAATGTATAAGAACAGTCAATCATGTGACACGCAGAAATTTCAAGCATATGACATACACAAGACAAACATATAAGAATGATGATTTTCAAACATACTAAGTGATGTGATCCTTAAGTGAGATTTCTGCGTGTCACCTAGGTGGGCACACATTGTTCCTCCCACGCACGAGTTCAGTGACTAAGAAGTGTGACTCGTGCTTAACACAAAGTGAAATACCTATGACACTCTAAGTGGCATCGTAGGGAGTGGGATAAATGGCTTATAAGTGAGTCAACTATTCCCAAAGTATGCAAGTGTCCATCCCATGCATACAACGTCGTATGTAGGGATGACACTTACAAGTGTGGGCACTCAAAGAGATACCACAAGCATGAAAACTCAAAGAGCAACATCCAAACATTCACATGAAAAACACACAAAGGAAAATTATTTTACATGTAATGAAATATATCGTAGACGTAAAGTCAAAAGATTTTTGATATACATGCAAAGAAACATGCAACATGCAAGAAATGCACACAAGCATGCGAGCGATCAATCGACCAACCCATGACGACCGGTGATAGAAAGGATGGGTTGATCATTCAGGACAATCAATCAGACCCAAATGCGTGGGTGATCAGTCTGGGATGGCCGATCAAAACCAAAAAGAGTGATTGAAACCAGTGTGGTTCATCAAACCCAAATGATCAGGCGATTGAGTCAGGGCCGCCGATCAAACCAAAAAGGGTGATTGAATCGAGACAGTCGATCAAACCCAAAAGAAGATATAATCGACTTGTGACAGTCGATCGCACCCACAGAGGGTGATTGACGTGTGACAGTGGATCACACCTAAAGAGGGTGATCGACACATGGCGATCGATCAAAACCAAAATAACGGATGATCAGCCTGGGTCAGGCGATTGAGTCAGGGCCGCCGATCAAACCAAAACGGGTGATTGAATCGAGGCAGTCGATCAAACCCAAAAGAAGATATAATCAACTTGTGACGGTCGATCGCACCCACAGAGGGTCATTGACGTGTGACAGTGGATCGCACTTAAAGAGGGTGATCGACACATGGTGATCGATCAAAACCAAAATATCGGATGATCGGCCTGGGCCCACCGATCAAACATAAAGGTATTGG